TCTCATTCCACCCCTGCCGTGGGCAGGGACACCTTCCACTATCCCAGGTCCCAGCCCTGTCCAACCTGGCCTTGGACACTTCCAGGGATTCAGGGGCAGCCACAGCTTCATCTCACAGGATGAGCACATTAACATCTCATTAAAACCAGATAATCTGGGAGAAAACTCCTCTTCAGCTCACAGTTTAGTGGTGTTTATGCAGGAACAGGATAACGGGGTAAAAGGGTATTTATTGTGTTTTTCACATCCTATTTAAAGGGAGTTGTGAAGAATCTTTGAGTGTTTGGAGAAGTTTCACTATGTACCAACACAGAAAATACTTATTTTAGAGTGATAACTGTTAGGATTTGAAAAGATTCCTGGTAATGGCTGTTGCATTTCAGATCTCCAAGCTGTCCCTGCACCCCATCGAGGACAAGCCCCCCGAGGAGCTGCCCGTGCTGGGTGAGCAGGAGCTGGAGGCGCTGCAGGATCCCAACGGGATCACCAAGAGGATCGCGCTGCTGGAGGCCCAGAGGCACGAGATGAAACCCAACCTGGGGGCCATTGCTGAGTACAGGAAGAAGGTAAAGCCTCACCAGGGCCATCCCATCTCTGGGAATTCCAGCAAAAAGGAGTCCTGCTCCTTTTCCTTCAGGGAATTGCAATGGAACCCTGGGATTTTCCCATTCCTGTTACCAGCCTTAGTGTTTGTCAGCTCATCCTCAACCAAGTTGTTTTAGGAGCTTCCCTAAGCCTTTTGTATTCCAGACCATCAGCTGAAGGCAACTTCCTTCATGATCTTGGAGGTCCTTTCCAACCTAAATCATTCCCTGACTCTCCTCTGAATGTTGTATTTAGAGTCAAGTCTTCACAGCTGAGACAGAAAAAATACTGAAAGTTTTTTTCTCCTCAATTCAATAATAGTGGACTATCCATCAGGTTAAATACTTTTTATTTTAATATGATTTTTCCCTTAGCAGCAAAGGAGAAGAGAGGGATAATTTTGGGTTTTTTGTTTGAGGGCTGTTAGCCTGAAATTCTTGAAAAAGGCATTTTCAAATGGTAGGAAAAGTGGTTTAAAATGTAAATCGAGGAGGCACTTCTTTAACTGCATTTCTGTGGTGCTGTTTGTGTTTCCCTGCAGGAGGACCTGTACCTGAAACACGTGGGAGAGCTGGACAACATCACCAACGAGAGGGACAACTTCAGACAGGCCTTTGAAGACCTCAGGAAGCAGAGGCTGAACGAGTTCATGGCAGGGTTCAATGTCATCACAAACAAGCTCAAGGAGAACTACCAGATGCTCACCCTGGGGGGGGATGCTGAGCTGGAGCTTGTGGACAGTCTGGATCCCTTCTCCGAGGGAATCATGTTCAGGTTGGTCAAAGTACTTCTTAATTGTCATATTCCTTTTCTCAACCTGTTTTTAAGTTGAATTTCACTGATCATCACTGAACCAAGACAGGCTCACCATTGGCAAGGTACTGGCAGAATTCACAACTTTTTAGGTCTGGGATTCATTTCTCCTGGAGAAATCAGGAACTAACAGCAGCTGGAAAGCTTTGACCTCATTTCCCAGTGCTGAATTCCCAAATCTGCCCAGGGGATGGGGGCAGTCACGTGTTGTGCCACAAACACTCTGAGGAGCATGTTCATTATTTAGGAGTTAAAGAGCACTTGGGAAGGGAATTCCCAGGAGCTGGGAGGTGTCCCAGCTCCCAGGACAGCCCGTTCCAGCAGGTTGGGCTCAGCCACACCCCAGCTGGGCGGGTAAGTCAGGAAACCCCTCCCTGTTTGCAGTGTTCGGCCTCCCAAGAAGAGCTGGAAGAAGATCTTTAACCTGTCGGGGGGTGAGAAGACGCTGAGCTCGCTGGCGCTGGTGTTTGCCCTGCACCACTACAAACCCACCCCCCTGTACTTCATGGACGAGATCGACGCCGCCCTCGACTTCAAAAACGTCTCCATCGTGGCCTTCTACATCTATGTGAGTACCCAGGGCACCTCTCTGCCTCTTCCCTTCCCACCAGGACACACGGGCTGGCAGCACGACTACAGCACAGTTGGAATCTGCAAGGACAGTTCTCAGGGGAAGCTCAGGAGGAAGCAGATTTCCAGAAAGGGCTTGGAATTTTGCTTTCTGCATGTTTATTTAAGCTCCTAAGTTTGATGCTTTCCCAAAGTGAGGGGACTAATAGAGGATTTACGAGTGTTTTCCCTACAAATCCTCTTTCATAAGTTGTCTAAAGAGAGCTGGGATTTGCCAAAGGTGCCACATCTCCATGTGCTGTTTCCTCTTTAAAATCCCCCAAACCCTCAGCTCCTGTCAGCTGAGAATACACAACTAATTGAGCTCTCAGTGATGTCTCCATGTATCCAAGCTCATGATCTCTCAGGAGCAGGCAAGGTTGGATTTATACTTCCATTTCATTCCCATGAGCTGTGTCCCATCAGTGTCTCTGATCTGTCTTGATTAGTAGGTTTTTTCCTGCCTTTAAAAGTCCTGCCCTCACCATATTTAAGCAAAGCAAACCCTTCCAGCTACGGCTGTGGCTGCCAGTTAAACCTGGGATGTTCAGAATTATCCCAAATGTCACCACCAGTTTTTAGAACAGGTGGCAAGGATTAGGATCAGCTACTTTAAATTAGGGAAACACCTGGAACTTCCCTGCCTGCAGCTGTAGGTTTAAACTTGGCTTCCACAGTGTGTCCACAAAGGAGGGTCCATCACCCACAGGTGAGCCAAGGGTTTAATTCCAGCTGCAGTTTAGACTGACACAGACAGTTAAAACCTAGTAATGAGTTTAGCTTTTAAATGCAAATTTAACTTAATGTAGAGCTGTAGGTTGTATTTTGTGCACAACTTTGAACTTCCATGAGCAGCCTAGTCTGTGCAAGATGTCCCTGCCCACAGCAGGGGTGGAACTGGATGGGCTTTAAGGTCCCTTCCAGCCTTGTGGAATTCCTGGAACGAGGATGGGAGCAGGAACTCCGTGGCTGGTGATGACTCCTCAGTCCTGTCCCCTGGGCACGGGGCTCCCACCAGGACAGAGCTTTGGGAATGCTGGGCACTAACAAGCCCTTTGTGTTTCAGGAGCAAACCAAGAACGCCCAGTTCATCATCATCTCCCTGCGCAACAACATGTTCGAGATCGCCGACAGGCTCATCGGCATCTACAAGACCCAGAACACCACCAAAAGTGTGGGCACCAACCCCAAAAGCATCGCTCTGAAGGGACTGCAGGAACTGGCTGCCCTGGAAGGGAGAGCCCAGAGCCAGGGGGGACCCCAGAGCCAGGAGGGCCCAAGTGCCCTCCCTGCTGCTGCTGCTTTTTAGGTCTGTCTGAGCTACTTTTATTTTGGTTTGTACATTTTGTTAATAAAACCCCACCTCGATAAACTGTCACGTAAAAACTGAGGGAGGAGCTTGTTGAGGGGGGCAAAGGTAAGATTTCAGTCCGTGTCAGGGAAACAGGAGGACCCTGGAACTACCTCCCTGTGAGCCTCCTGTGTCCTGGGAAGAGCAGGGAGCAGATCCTGCTGGAAGCTGGGCCAAGGCCCAGGGAGGGAGTGGGAACAGCCACCTCCAGAGCTGCCTCCAGCTCTGGGATCCCCAGCTCAGGAAGGATGTGGAGCTGCAGGAGATGCTCTGAAGGCTGGAGCCCCTCTGGAGACAACTCCCTGCTCCTCCCCTCTCCGTGAGGGATCAGGGGAGGGTCTGCAGTGGGGGAAGGAAGGTGATGTGATGGCCAGTCCTGCTGTAAGAACAGGCTTTATTTGTAGGCAAACCTTGGAAAATAACAGTGCATTGGGAGTGGTACAGGTGTCAGTCAGCGGTAAAGGCACTTTAAATTCCTGTCATGAAAAATAAAATTGTATTAGAAATTCTTTTAAAAAGGAAAATAAAAGATAGGAAGGGGGGTAGGAAATGCAGCCTCATGGGGCAGTGAACAGACCTTCAGGATTGGAGACTGATGTGTCAAGTGCAGCCTCCCAGCAGGGCTCAGGATAAAAACAAATTGCCAGTTTTACTGGGGAATTGGTATGAGAGCACTCACACAGTCCCAGCACACACCTGGAACACCTTTCCAAAACTGAGCAGTGGGATGGGTGGGATTTGCCACTGGAACTCTGAAAGATGACAGACAAACTCAGGAACAAATTCCAGGCACAGCTCCCATCCCAGTGTCTTCCTGCTCCTCCCCCTGGGACACTCCACAGCCCCCAAGCTGCACCTGGGCTGGACTCGGGCTTTGTCAACACTGGGATAGCAGGATTGGGATCAACTTGAGGCTTAAGGAATGTAACAGTATCACCTCTGAGGACTGACCTTGCATGAACTGGCAGCAGGTGGGATTTGGCAGGACCACACAGAACCTGCTGATAACAGGCAAGTTTGGGGTTCAAAACCCCAAGTTCAAGGAGTTAAAGGGCAGGTTCAGAATTCAATCCCTGCTTACAAACCACATCAGCCAAGGAATGCTGCTGGGCTGGGAGAGAGAATTATTTTTATGAGGTCAAATACCCATTTCTGTGTTTTTCTCAACTCAATCCCCAGTGAATTGTTGCTCACTGCCTTGTGCTGGTGGAACTACAGCACTTGGAGCCTCTCCCAGGGCTTGATCCAGCCTGGTAAAGGCTAAAACTGGCTCCATTTAGGCTGGAGCAGCTCAAAAGCAGCAAATGGTGCCAGTGAGCACCTGAGGGCAGAATAAACCCCTGTCCAGGGACAGGTCTCTGTGCTGACAATCAAAAGGTTAACTATAAATTCGCATTCCTTGTCAGGTAAAGTCCTCCTACCCCGGACTCCAGCAGGAGTTTTGCCACTTCCTGCAGCATGTTTGTGTTTTCACTACACCCTAAATGATTTAGGAAAAGTCAGGGAGCAGTGGGAGGTCTCTCCCTGCCAGCCCAGACCCCCCAACGTGGGCACAGCTGGGTCTAAAACCTGTGTGTGCATCCAAGGTCCTGCTCAGCAGGAGAGGATGGGAGAGGAGGAACATGGGAAACACACGAAGTTATTACACACAGGATAAAAAAAATGACAAAAAGGGTGAAATAGTGTCCTTCACTCTACCCAGAACCAAAAACTGAGTGCCAGGGCCACGAGCACAGACCTCAAAGAGCACAAATGTCTCTGTTCCAACACGGTCACAGGCCAGGAAGCACAGAAAGGGAGTTTCTTGCACATGGGAGGCAGTGCCGGCCCTTTGCAGCTGAGGGGTCCTGATAACCTGTCATGTTTGTATTAAAAAACAATTTCAGAAGACATTACTAAAAATAAAGAGTCCATGTTGAAGGAGTTTTCAGAGCTGAGACTCAGATTCCCAGGTGTGAGCTGGTTCCAGCTGCTGGTCCTGCCTGGATCCCGGCTGGAACAAACACCTCGGTGGGACAGAGAGCCCTTTTTGGTGCAAATGTTTACTTCACTAAGACTTAGCTCAGAGGAAATCCAGGCACTAGAGGAAAGGAAGGATATGGGAATAGAAGGGGAAAGTGTATTGCTTTAATAATCCAGCTTTTCAGTGTGGATTCCTGCACTGGGCCATCACCTACTCACGGAAGCAGTCAAAGGGGACAATTCTCCTGCAGAACCCCATCAGGGAGGTGAATGGGTGGCACAGCCCATCCACAGCCTTCTGCAGGTGGGAGCAGGAATGCTGATAGAGCTGGAGCAGGAATTCTGAGATCCATGCGGGAGCAGCCTGGATGGCCCCGGGGGGCAGTGCCCTGTGCAGGGCGAGCACGGTGCCCGCCAGGCCCAGCAGCAGCAGCAGCAGCACGGGGGGCAGGCTCACGGGGGGCAGGCTCAGGGCACACACCCACTTGCTGCCTTCCACAGTTTCCTTCCCAGGGCATTTGCTGCACTGTTTCCTCCTGGGAATCAGCATCAGTTTTGGAGGGAGGATCTTGTGGATCTGACCCACTTCAGTTTTAGCCCACACATCCTTCAGCAGGTCCTCCATCCTTGGACAAATCTCCAGAGGTTTCACATCCGGCAGTTCCTTCTCCCTCAGGGCCTTGACCCGCTGCTGCAGCTCCTCCAGCTTCTCCAGGCACAGCAGGGGGGACTTCTCTTTCCGAATAGAGGAATTCAGGTACTTGAGCTCAATCTCCTCCACCTTCAGTTTGCTCACACTCTCCAGCAGGGGCTCGTATTCCCGCAGGAAGCGCCTGTTGAGCTCATCCAGAGCGCCCAGCAGAGCTTGCTTCTTGTGCTCCAAGGTGTCCCCGAGCTTTTTGAAGTACTGCCCCACGACGTCCTTCTCGCTGCGCAGGAGCTTCTCCCACTGGGATTTCTGCGCCGTCAGCTTCATGTAGCACAGCAGCACCTCCCGCCAGTATTTCTCCGGCAGCTGCTCCTGCAGTTTTCCAGCGGCCTCCTTGGCCTTCCTGTGGGCGCTGTGCAGGTCCCCGATGGGGTGCCCGCGGTGCTGCCCTATGGTGAGGCACTGCCCGCACACCAGCTGCCTGTCCAGCAGGCAGTAAATGTTGAGGGGCTGCCGGGGGTGCTCCCGGCACGTCTCCACATCCCAGGGCTCTTCCTGCCGGCACTTCTCAATGACGGCCTTGAGGGCGAAGTTGATGGGCAGGGACTCCAGCCCGGCGGCGGGAACGTCCACCAGGGCCCGGCAGTTGGGGCACTTGAGGCGCCTCCGGATGGAGAAGGTGTCGGAGCGCTGGAGAACCCCCTCCAGGCATTCCCTGCAGAAGGTGTGGGAGCAGGGAAGCACCCGGGGATCCTGGTAAATGCCGCAGCAAACGGCACAGCTCAGCTCCTCCTCCAGCCGCTCCATGGCCTGCGCGGGGAAAGCAAACACAAACAAAGGGCTTCAGCTCTTCCACAATCACTGCAGTGACCCCAGCGGGGCATTTCCTGAGCAGGAATTCCCACCTCGGCTGTTCGTTGCCAAGGGGGAAAAAAAGGCAAAATAATAATGAAAGTGAACAGTTCGGTGATTTCAGCAAAGTCTGAGCTGCACTCAGGAGCCAAGCGAGCACCCACATCCAACCTCTGCCTTAAAAAGCCAGGGAAAGCAGGAATCTGCCATTAGATGTTTTTTACGATGGGAAGCAGTAGGGAAGTGGTAAAAACAAAACTAGAATTTCTAAATAACCTCAGAATTATGAACAATTTCTCCCACCGCTTCCAACGTGAGAATAGAACAAGAAGTACAGACGCTTTTTTTTCTGCCCTCACTTCAAATGTTACTTTTGTAACACAAAATAGTCATCAGAGCATTAAACAGTCACATTTACTAGAAGCTCTCTGGAGGTTCTGGCACTAACAGTCCAACTCAGCAGCCCTTACAGACACCACCACTACCAGGATTAGATTTTTGTGTGCTATTCCCGGGTTACTTTAAGCACCAAACTCAAAAACTTTCACTTTCCATCCTTTGTGATGTTGCCTCAGTTTTTCTTTGCCAGCTTAGTGAAATCAGTGTTAAATCCCAAATAACAGTAACACTAAAACCAGTTTTCCTGATAAATCCTGATTTTTGTTTCCATTCTGCTAAAAATACGAGGGAATTGGTACCACGTTTCCTCCTCTTTGTGCCACGTTTTCCTGCCCCTCCACCAGTTTTAGTCAGAGGCTTTGCTGCACCGCAACAAGAAATTGTCTGAGTTTTCAGCATCAAAACCCATCAATTTGGGGTCTAAATCAAAATCTGCCAACAACCACCTGGAGCAGGGCTCACACTGAGGGAGGGTGGGAGCTGAACACCCAAAGCCCAGTTCTCTGAGGGTTAAACCAGCCCTGAGCACAGGAACCTGCTCTGGTGGCACAGAAATAAGCCTGGCTTATCTCACTGGCTGGGGTTGGGTCCAAAAGGGCAGTGCTGGGCTTAATTAGGGTGAAACAATGCCAAAAAATCAACTAAAAACTTTAATTTATCAGTTTATTTTTAATCTATCATCGCCCAGATCAGCCAATTCAATCTGTATGTTGTTAAGTCAACTTTATATTCAAAACACAGCCTGATTAATTCAGCTCTAAGAAAAAAATAATTAAAAAAATCTATGCAGCACACTTTCAGGTAAATTATCACAAAATGTTGGTTCACTTCTTTGAATTCTTTTTAAAAGGAAACCTTGAGAACAGCTGGGAGAAAATCTCCTAGAGGGAGACATAATTCCATATAATTCCTAAGAACTGCCCTTTAAAAGCAGAATGACAAAGAGTGTCAGCATTTATAACCAACTGCTGCATTCTCCTCAGTAAAGAGAATTTAGATCAGGTCCAACAAACATTTAACAAAAGACCTTCATGACAATGACACTAAATCTGTTTTTTACTAAATAAAGGCCATGAGGTTATTCCTCTTTTCACTGGGAAGCCACAGGCCTTTATTTCCCAGCTTTTCCAATCAGCCACTGTAGCAACACTGGGTTATTAATTCCATGTTTTTAAGTGATGCTTCAGACACTGGAACTAAAGAAATGTGACAATAACGAAGGGAGCTGAGCAACAAATCTATTCCACTGCCTAGATAATTATTTTTTATAATTAATTCCCATAGGAACTATATTTAAAGGTTTTATTTTAATTTTATATATATAAACTTATTATGAATCTTAGGAATGTCACTTCCACTGAAATCAAAGGAAAAATAGGTTATAGTTTTTCTCATGGTTGGAAAAAAAAGAATCCTTAGTTAGATATTCACTATTTTCTCTTATATATATGGAATTAATAATAATTTTTTAAAAATTTCCTTGTTTAAAATCACTAACTTGGGCAGCTCCAGCTCTTTTATTACTCCTTTTTATTTTTTATTTATTATTCCTCAGTTTCCAAACAGGATTTGGAATGTCAGTGCTGATTTTTCTAAAGCACCCTGTGTCTCCTTAATTTGTTCTAGACAATTACCAGGAGTTGTAGCAGGGAAGTAAAAGGTTTGGAATTCCCAGAATTTCACCCAGCACTGGCAGCACAGAGGAAATACCCACATATTGATTTATTTCCACTGCTGTTCACCTGCAGACTATTGGAAACAGAGCCTGGGAACAGCAGTTGGAAAATACAGAGAAGGCCCAAAATGACAGAGTTAAGCAAAGAGAAAGAAAGTAACTTTTCTAGGAAAAGAAAAGCAGCAGCAGGAAGCTGGGAAATGCTTTCCTGCACAGAGCAGATACTTTTCCTGGCATGTTCCAAACAACTGTGGCAGCAAATACATGTGCCACATGTATAGTAATAAATATATAGATTTATTGTAAGAGTTCCCCCAGCATAAACAAATCACAAACTAGAAGGTATTTTAAAATTCAAAAGTGCAATTTGTGCCAGTTTTGGAAACCTCTCAGCAATGGGATGCCTGCTAAGGACTGGGATTTTATCCTCCTCTAATTAGGGGTGTTGTAGGGAGGTGAAAACATGTCATGAAGGCAGCAGAGCTGGAGGATGGGGTGTGTGCCAAGGCATCCAGCGAAGCAGATCACAGGAATGTGGTGCATTCCTTGATAACTGTGTTCCCAGAGATCTCCTGCTCCTCCAGCTCATTATGCCAGAGGTTGTTTAGAAAAAATTATATATATTTTTATATGCAAATATACAAACAGTGGAACACAGCATACATCAGCGTTTAGGTGGATAAATAACTGCTTTATAGGACAATCCCCCACACCCCATTCTACTCCAGAGGACTTTAAAAGGTGAATTTGGCGCTGGATAACAGCCCATTCCAAGGGGCACCCCCAGGAGTGGGAGCTGCTGCTCCTCCTCCTGCCAGCAAAGGAAACCTCTGCTCTCTCCTGAAGGACTGCAACACTCAACTTCAAAATGTGCTGAACTTGAACCAAATCCACACAGAAACGCCCATTCCCTATCCCACAGAGATCCATGAAATCCTCTTCACCACTATTATAGAAGCTCAAGTTTACGTTGTGCAAGAAACAGAGATCGAATGACATTACAGTGTTTGCCATTCATAAATCACCTTCCTGGTAAAGGAACAAAACATAAACCCACCAGGAATCACAAACAGCCCTAAACCTCCCTATTCCAGCCCATTCCAGCCGTGCTGCTGCTTTATCCCACAGCACAAGTCACGGCAATTCTCAGCCTGGGATGTTCTGCCCCGGCCCCTACTCCTGCCACAGCTACTACACCGCTGGCACAGTTTTACACTTTTTGGGGTTTTTTTCCCCGCTGTTTTGGGGGTTTTAGTGACCTGAAGGAGATGAACACAGCCGTGTAGTTCCCCTGTCAAAGGGACCTGCCAGTTCCCTGCTCTCCGTCCCTGCACTGGCTCCTCCTCTGACACAACCTGACACAAGTTACCACATTCAAAAACTCCAAATTCGCGCTGGAATCACAGTTACCGGTGAATCCCGAGGGAATCTCTGACTCCTGAGAGCGAGCCGGGCTGTTTCACAGATCTCTCTCATATTATGTGTAGTTTATGTTACAAAAAGAATTCGGTCCCAGCCCTGGTTTGCATGGAACCCACAGCGATTTCCACTCAGCCGGAAACTTCCGCGCTCCACCTCAACCTCAGAAATTTTTCCAAGGCCATAATTTCAATTAAGAAGTTTACAACGGGAACTCGTGCTGGCGATTTTAAAACCCAAACTTCAGGAAAGCGGGGAGAAAGCAGAAAAACCCGCTCCAGGACTTCGATGGTCCCCTGTGGGTCCTTTCCAACTGTGGTTCTATATCCCCCTCCATCCTTTCTTTCCATGCTCGATCCCCCCTCCCTCCCTCGTAACTCTTGTCAAAGCTTCTGGTTTTTTAGCATTTATCCGTCATTCCCCTCACAGCACCAGCGGAGGTGAAGGACGAACACACTTTACCTGCGTCCCCCGCAGGGTCCCTCCTGCCGCAGCCGCAGCTCCCAGACCGGCAACGATGGGACCGTCCCTGAAGGAGTAACCGGGAAACGATGGGATCAACACCTGGAGCTCGCCGAGGTCGCACGGATAAGAACGAGCTGAAACAC